GATATGCAGAAAGAACTTAAATAGTGTTATGCAGGTTAGACTGATACAAATATTCAAATACCTTAAAATATTCATAAATTTCGTGAATTTTAAATTTCACAAAGCAACCACCACATTTCTCAAAAAAAAAAAAAATTCAAAATGATTATAGCAACAGATTCGAAAAAATTCATTTTACATACATAATTTCGCCAGCATAATAATAACTTCTTTTAACTAGTGTGAGAAAATTTTTTTTTGGTCTTGCTTTATTTGCATTATTTATGCATTTGTTCACTATTGATCTCAATGCTCTTTTAATTCATCTATTTACAGTAGTTATTGCTTATTTATGGAAACAAATTCTTGTTTTTTATAATAGCTTGATTCCATTTGAATATGTAAGAGATTTACTTTTTTTTCAAGATTTATGTATATATAATATACATTCACTCTACCAGAAAGTTCTTTCTGCTTTTCTGACAGCAATTTTTAACACGTAAGCATATGTTTATTTGGTACACGTTCAACTCTCTTCAGCACAGTAGTCCAAGAAAAGAGGCCTGAGATGTTCAACATGATGGACATCATAATGCATCATGATAATGGCAGGTAACATGCTGCTTTGGGGACTCATCAAAAAAATTACAGAACTAGGCTAGAAAATTCTGACTAATCCACCATATTCTCCCCAGCCTTAGCACACTCTGACTATTACTTGTTTTTGTCCTTGCAACATTTTTTGAAGGGCAAAAAAATTCAAAAATGAAGAAAATATCAAACCAATAGTTCAATTTTTTGCATCACAGGATAAAACATTTTTCAAAAATGGAATATACAAATTGCCCTCATGCTGACAAGAAGTCATTAATAATAATGGCAATTATACTATTTAATACAGTTTATTGACAGTAAGAAAAATTTGTATTTTGTTTTATTCGAAAAAATAGAACTTTCCAGTAGACCATATACATATATATATATATTTAAGTCAAACCATGCTTAATAAGCACCTCCCATAACAAGTAATTAACATAACAAGCAAGACAAGGAAAAAAAAAAAGACTCCTTTAAAACAAGAAATGTTTTGCAGATTGAGTGACTTGGAGACATTGTGACATCACATGCAGGATCTTGCCTGCATCTTCGTGATCAGTTCAGTACATGTGAAAGCCCTATTCAGACACGTACTTTAAATGCATAGTTTAAGCATGTTTCCACATTTGCTACCCCCTCCGAAAAATGCCATAAGAAGATAGGGGTAAGAGAAGAAAAGAACTGTAGAAGTCAAAGGCCAAATCATTGAGTAGTGAGAAGGGTGTGAGCATGGCTGACCTAGCACACATATGTAATCAGTCTACAATGACTTCCGCTGTCCTAAAAAACAAAGCCAAGATTAAGGAGATTGATGCTTCAAAGGATGTTGCAAAAATTTCTACACAACAGCCATATATTCTCTATGATGCTAAAAGATTGCATTTCACATCGATAAATAAGAAGCAAATGCAATGTGACATTATTAACAAAAACATTAATCTGTGAAGAGGCAAAACTAATTTTTGCAGACCTCATCAAAAAGATGGCAGGATCAACAGACAAAGAAGCATTAAAGGCAAGTGTGGGTGGTTCAAAAAACTAGAACAGACATCCACAGCAACATGAAGGACGGAAAAGCCATAAGCACAACATGAAGGCAGCCAAGAACTCCATCGACATAGTTAAGAAGCTTGTGAATTCTGAGAATTAAATCCCACAGCAAGTTTTTAATTTTGATGACATGGGTCTCTTTTGAAAAAAAGATATCAAATAAACTAAAATTACAGCAGAAAAGAAGCACTGTGAGGCCACAAGCCAATGAAACACCATCTTATGCTGTTTTGAGCAAATGCGAAAGCCGATCTCAAGCTACTGTTTATTTACCATTCAGACAACCCATGAGCCTTTAAGAAGTAAAACCCAGAAGAGCAGGCTAAATGTATGCAGGTCCAACAAGGTTTTAGGTGACACAATTTTATAGATTGGATTAATGAAATATTTACCCTGTCTGTAAAAAAACTATCTGCTTGAGATGAACTGGCTACCCTGTGCTTGGGTGACACAACCTTTTTATAGATTGGATCAATAAAATGTTTACCCTGTCTGTAAAATACTATCTGCTTGAGATGAACTGGCTACCATGTGTCTTGCTTGTTACAGAAAATGCTCATGCACATCCTCCAGGCCTAACAGATGACCACGAAGAATTTAAATTTAACAAGATCCAGCCCCCTTATTCCCAATACCACTCCCTTACTGCAGACCACGGACCAGTAGGTAATTTCAAATTTTGAAAAGCTCCACACTAACACATGCTTCCAGTGCTGTTTGGAAGCAATTGAAAGCTGTTTCGGAAAGACTATTTTCACATCCTTGCCTGCCTTAAGATGACTGACATGACATAGGAGGCGGTCACCAAGAGAACTCTTATTTCTGCAAGGAAGATGCTTTTGTTGGGCAGCATTGTCGAATGCAACTCCAGTTTCAGCGAGTGCAAAGCGTGGGAAACTGTTGCATCACATGTTTAGAAGCATCACACTAATAAGGCATAAGCTATTGTGTGCTATAAATGTTTTTAATGATAATGATGCATCTCATTTCACAAAATTTTTAAGTGTAGGCAAAAAAACAAATGTTTTAGACAACTTTCTTATAAAAAAAGATGTATTACAAATAATTATACAATATATATTATAAATATACATTTACATTATAAATTACTTTTAAGTATTTCTTCAAGAATGGAATACACTATTTTACTTTACATTTATGCCTATGGAAAAAATTATTTTGCTTAATGAATGTTTCACATCACAAAATAGGTTTGGGAACAAATTATACTCATTAAACCACCAATGTATAACAATCTCTCTCTCTTAATGTGTATCTATCTAGCAATCTATATCCATCTATCTATGTATCTATATAAGTATAAATAATTATGAGTAATTTAAAATGCCTAAAACTTTCAATAAAGCTGCTAAGTAATAAATCAATAATAACAAGGGTATTTATATATCACCTCCAAGGAAAAGAAATTTAATTAAAGCTATGAATTATTAGGAAAAACTTATTTTTGAGTTGCATTCCCAGTTAGTACCCAAAGTTAACTAGATTTCCATTGTAGTATATATACACTGCCTTCCAAAAGTTAAGGAACAGCAGGTTTTTCAAAGCTCACCATTACAAAAATATCAGTAACATTTACATTCACAGTTCATATGCATAACAGTAATGAAATTTTAAGAAAATATATGCAACCACTTTTATTTTATAGAAATGAATACTAATACAGGAGTTTCAGAAAAAATGCAAAAATTGTAAGTTTTGTTCATGAGTGTTGGTCTTCAGTTGTTATTACAGTTTCATGGACAATATACAGGAGAGTCTATCAATGTCCAGAAGTTGTTGTTTGCCCAATTCGTTGAGGTGGTGGGCAATCAGATGGATGGAAATGAGGATGTCAGAAGCTGATGCTGCGAGACGTCTCAATGTTTCTCATAGTGTGGTCCACCAACTATGGAATCAATTTGAATCTGAGGATTCTGTGTCGAGAAGACATGTTCCAGGCAGACTTAAAGTTACAACACCTGTGGGAGACCGTTAGCTCTTTTGGCCCAAAGGAGGAGTAACATTACTGTGCATCAGCTCCTGGCAGATGATCTGGTGGCAACAGAAACAAGAATGTTAGCTACTACGGTACACAGATGCCTGCACAATACAGATCTGTATGCAAGACAACCAGTTGTTTGTGTCCCCATGACCTGAGGACACAGAGATGCCCATTATTGTTGGGCAAGAGACTACATCTCCTGGACCAGTCAACAATGGGCACCTGTTCTCTTCACAGACAATTCCAGGTTCACATTGGAGAGTAATTTAGGTCATTAGCCGATCTGCAGGAAACAACACGCCAGATACTACCAATCCCATATTGTGGAAAGAGACAGTTACAGAGGTGGTGAAATAATGGTTTGGGACGGGATCTCTCTCAGTGGTCACACTGACTTACATGTGTTCCATGGAGTGATTGGTGTGAGATATCAAGATGAAATCCTTGATCAATACGTCCGCCCAAATGCCACAGCTATTGGTTCTGGATTTCTTCTGATAGACGACAACGTGCGACCGCACCAAGCCCAGGTTGCTGAAAAGTATTTTGAGGGTCACGGTATGGAGGGGATGGAATGGCCAGCTCAATCTCCAAACCTGAATCTGATAGAGTATCTTTGGGACTACCTTGGGAGACAGGTTGCTGCTTTCAGTCCACTTTCAAGGTCATTAGATGAGCTTGAACAAGGATTACTCTGTGTCTGGTTGTTGCTTCCCATTTCACTGATCAACAACTTAATTGACAGCAGACAATGTATTGCAGCTAGGGGTGGACACATTCTTTATCAGAACCCATTTTTGTAATGTTATCACCCCATTTTTCCTTAAAAAACTGTGATATACTGTTACAACTGATAAACTAAGACTGGTATTCTCTGACAAGAGTGCAATTGTTTTGTTGTAATTCATGCTTATGTTGAACTTTAGAAACATTCTATGTTGCATTCATTAAAAAACTGTTTTAGTGAATATGTCCTGTAAATTTCTTTTCTATGTTGCTTCATTCTCAAATTAAAACACAAAAAACAGCATGCTGTTCCTTACCTTTTGGAAGGCAGTATACACACATGGTATATATTGCACCCTATGCTATACTACACTACCCTTTGCTATAAATATATGTGTATATGAGAGAGAGAGTTATTCATTTGTTATACCGATTACATTACTTTAATGCAAAATATGGTAAATATTTTTCCTGAAAATGATCATTATAATAAAATGCATTTCTGGAGATATAATACAGATACATGGGAAAAGAGAGCAGACAAGACATGTTGCTTGAATCCCTGTGACCAGTATTATACCAGTTAAAGGTTATAAACAATAAAATCATAAATTCTGGGAGACAAAAGTAATAAAACATAGCATACTTTTTCGCTTTTTGGAATCACCCCTTGAGGCTGCAGCTTCATGAAGCAGTATCATACCAACAGTAATTGAAGCATCTTGGATTAAATTAAGAACAAACTTTCTCTAAATGACTTCAACAAAATGATAACTTCTTCAATTGATTAAAAAAGAGTTTCACATAAACCAGTTATTCCAATTCAAAAACTACTGAGTTTTTGTTTTAAAATGAACTGCTTTACAAAATTCATTCAACATAAATGCAATGAGAAATCATAATCATTTAACCAGCATTTTCATAATAGATTCAAATAAAAAACAAAAGTCATAAGAAAATTACTGCAAAAATTTCTAACAGAATGGAAAAAAACAATGCCTTTTACATTGCCAGGCTGCTGATCATAACAAGTGATTGCAATGCAAGTACACTGATAGACCGAATGCCAGTATTTCATGCTATTTTGCAATTTTTTTAAACTGGTATTTGCTAAGGTAAAATACCAGTATTTTCCATATTAGCTATAAATAATTCATATCTTTTAATAAAGAGTTTAAAATATTAGATATTTACATAATTATAACAACTTTGACAAACAAAACAAAAAGGATGAAAAATGGTTTACAAGGTCAAATTTTAAAAAGTTATCGTAAATTTCCACGAAAACATTTATGAAAAGTAAACACACACCTACCCAGAAGAATTCAATGAAAATGATGTTGATGTTAATATCAGGAAAGAAATTCTTTCTCGGGAAGAAATTTCAGTTAGTCATAAAAAATTGCCACAATCAATAATACAAAAGTAATACCAAAAATAAGCAGATTTATCCAAAACTGTCAGACAAGAGACCGAATTGTTAGAAGATGAAGGATTCTGAGGCAAATATATAATCAAAGTATATCGCTCGTTATTAACAGTACCACCACCAACCAGCCTGCAAGCAGAAAGAGCACTTTCAACTACAGATAGTTTTGTGTACAAAAATAGGTTTCAGGCTTAATGATAGTTCAATAGCCTTATGTTGTTTTTACAATCACATTTCAAAAATATGCAGTTAATATTTTTTTTTATTAATAGATAATATATAACAGATTAGATTACACAACAAGATTTTTATGTGATATTTACTCTTAATAATAGCATCATATGTTTTGTTCCTTTATTGTAATATTACAATGGGTTACTTTATATATTACATTTTTTGTTGCTAATGTTATAAATTATTATTTTTATGGTCTCATTAATAATATTTAACATTTGTTCTTTTATTTTATGCTTGTACAAAATAAAATTTTTATATTTTTACAGTTAATACATTTTTTGTGTAAAACTAAATAAATATGACAGAAACAACTGTTTTTGTACTTTTTTGAAAAATTCCTAATATGGTACATTCTAAAAAATACCAAATACCAGTAATGTATTTTTGTTCCAGTATTGCGATTACTAATCATAACCTCATTCCACATCAACTGCTTAGTACTGGAACAGTAGGGACCAACTCAGCATATTTCTATTAAAGCAAATCTATTACTAAACACAATTTGTATACATGTAATGAGAAATATGTGAAATAAAACTGCACTCTGAAATGGCCCAAGTTATATTTTATGTGGTTACATCCACTTGCTATCCTACATGCTTAGTGTTAATCTTTCTGAATGGTGCTATTTTAAGGTTAATCTTCATCAGGTGTTTCTGGTAAAGTGCTCATAACACATGTACTCACATAACACTTCAGCAAATAATAATGTAAAAATTTTGGACATTAAGTTAAAAATACAGGTAAAAAAAAACTAGCTTTAATTTCCAATAATTTCTATTAAGTCTCTCATTTAATGTGATAATTTTCCTTTTCTATTCTAAAAAAAAGGTAATGCTCATAATGAATCTAAACTGCATCATTTCAAGACTTCCTTTCCCAATGATTCATAGAAAACACCAATGAAGCAGGCAATCATGCAATGCTTCAGCCAATGATAATTTTTAATTTTGCATATGAAACCAAAAATTAACCAATTAAAAAAACTAACTTTACCAAACCTTCACTCATAACTGTCACATTTTTCTTTCTCTCCTATAGCTTGCAAACATAATGTCTGCTGCTGCTTTTCTTTCTTTGCGTATCGGTAAACAGTAAAACAGTAAAAGTACCAAGTAACTATTCAATGAAAAAGTGCACTTTTGGGGCAAAGTCCTCTGTGGCTGCATTAAACATAAACATGTCAGCAATAAAAGAATTCAACTTGCACCAATCTCTGAATCATGTTCTCTGCAACATCAACTGCTAAATTATTACTTATGTACACATATCAGAAAGTTTATAATTTGAAAATGATACTGGTAAGACATCACAAATATTTTGCCAGTACATTCAAATGATTATAGTAATTGAAATTGGTCTCTTAACTCTCTAAGTGGGAAAGCCATATATATATATATATAGGGCCTAGAATATTTTTTGTGATATCCATAAGAATGTACATATACATGCATATTAAAATATGTCAAAGAAATTAAGGCAATATATCAAAAGTACACAAATCTAGATATGAAATACCAGGAGAGTTTTTACATTAAAATAAAAAAAATAATAATAATTTGTTCTCATAGAAGTTTGGGGAAATTTGCACTTTCTTAGCTAAGACCCTGGCCGCTCAGAGGGTTAAGGCATATACAGCACAAATAGTTTAATAGCATTTAAATGTCAAATTATGAACCATTCTTAAATACAGGATAAATTCCAAATCATTGCATTTTGAAGGATGAAAAGGATACTTAAAATCATGACTATGTAAGTTTCAATAATAAACTGGCCACCACTGCTTCCATGAATATAACCCTAGAAGAAGGAAAATATAAATAACTATAATTTGAAACCCATAAGACATTTCATGTCTAAATCTAAAACAGCTCATTTAAGATATTTGTTCTACAAAATCTAGTAGGTAAAAAAAAATGTAAAGGAAAAAATTACAGAACACTTGGATTGAAAATAAAAAATATACATACTACACTACCACGGGAAGAACGATGCATAAAGGGAGGTCCACGGATATGATTCCACATTTGTCCTGATGTCATTGCAAACACTATGCACTGTAAAATACATATAAATAATGCATTGTACATTAATAAAATGTAATTAAATTATTGCTTTTGCAAACCAAGAACAAAACAGTTGAGCATTATCAATTACAATGCAGTCAAACCTTGACAGCATATCACTGTCCAGAATAATTAAAAAGTGACTTCTTAGAAGTATAATTAAAAAAATGTTAATTATCTTTAAAATGTTCTTAATAAATTCAAAATTGATTTTAGAAGGAGGGAGGGAACATTTCAAGTATTTACATATTATTTTTACTTAAAAATACCAGGCAATTTGATTTAGCAAATTACTTTTAAGATAATCAAAAAAATATAAATCTTCCTTATTTTGACTCTTAAACCACTGATTTTACAACCAATTTAATGAAGGTCAATGGATGAATTCCTCTTCCTATTTAGCACTGATTACAGATTTATCCTTATCAGCAACTGTAATGATTATGAGTTCCTCAGCATGCAGTAAAAGCAGACTCTTTGAATGATACTTTATTCATAATATTAATTTTTGTTATTTCTTCTTTTAATGTCCTTGCTTCACCTTTCTCTCAGATTTTTATAAACTCTATTATTATGTTACAGTAAACAACTCTACACAATAACATACAAATTGAAGATTTAAAAAAATAACCCGAACTTTACTAAATGGACAACTAAAACAGAGAGAAAAAAAAAATCAAAGTATTTAACTTTTCATGTTTACAATGTCAACCCTACTTCTAAAATGATGATTTGCAACAGGATAATCTGAACACTTAATGCTTATGAATTTTTAAGTAGAAAACAACACAGTGAAAATCATATGTGGTTGAAACTGCCATGGAAAACACAGTTTTGCTATGAAGGAAATCAAAAATACAATAAAAGCATATACTCAGAGTGAAACAGTTTAATTTCTCTTGAATAATGACAGAAAAAATATAATATGCAGTATAAATTACTTCATATATTTTATGACTTTTAAATATTGTATGCAGATGATAGCTTAAACAGATTTGACTATACGATTTAATCTTACACTGTAAATAGGGATACAAAATTACCCAATTTCATAGAATATTATATCATAACATTTCAACAACATAAACAGCAGCCAGTTAAATGCACTTGATCCAAACCAATTCCATATATATATATATTCAAAAATGTGGATAATTAAAGTAAATATTTATCAAATACAGTGCAACAAAAGCATTTTCTACAAATGAACAGACATGTTACCGAGTGGAAAAAATAAATATTTTTTAATACAACCAAGTGCTTTTACAAAAACTACTGTTAAAATATTGTCATGAATTTTTGTCACTGTGAAATATCCAAAACAGTGAATGTGGAATTTCTAAAATAAAAAGCAAAATACCTGATCGGTAGAAAAACCTCACTAGGAATATGAAAATGTTTCTCAAGTCTCTCAAAAGCATTTTGTAACAGTTAAGTTATACTAATGAATAGAAAACATGGCTAGCCATACATTCTACTTAAATACTATTATAATAAAAACATGTTTTCTCATATTACTATTTAGTATTCTTAAAAAAATAAATCCAATCATTTAATGAAAACATTTAAAAAAATGGAAGAAAAATGGGAAAATATAAATTTTCAATTAATAAATGAATAGTTCAGGTTCAAAATATTAAGACATCTTCTCAATGGATAACTTCTTTGGAGGATAATGGCAAAATTACTGGTTTTAGACGAACCAAGAACTAAATTAATACTCAGCTCATCAACAACAGAGAATCTTCTTTATTTCAGACTGCAAAAACCAAGCAGTTAGGACAGCTCAAATGCAAGAGAAAGTTCAAGATTCTAATTCAGAATATGATTATAAGTAAATCTGAAACAAATCTCACAATTATTTGTTACAAATTTATAACTTAGCTGTGTCATCAGTGGACTGAACACCATAATCTCAAGTTAATTTTATTAACAGCTGTCCAGAATTAAGAGACAAACACATTTTCTGCAATAGTTGAAACAAGCAATCACTGTTTGCAAACATGATCTCATATACGTTGTTATTGCTCATCCACTAAACCAAGACCAAGAGATCATTACATATCAACAAGTCATAAACAATCTCTTGCTCATTCAACAGCTGCTCTAGAGAGGCACGAATACATTTGATGATATAAGAGGGGGACGTGATGGCTCAGCAATGAAAACAGGTATTCCACTGAAGATTAAACTCTTCATGTATCCAGTCCTAAGCCTAGATAGAGCTGTTTTAGCAGAACTAGGGCAAAAGCACTGCACTGACTATCCAGGCCTCTTTGCAGTGTACTATGCAAGATCTGATAGGATCCTCCAAATGTTATTAACATTGGTCAGAAACAGGGAATGGGCCCCCAGAAGCTCATTAATTTGGAGGAACGGACAGTGAGGAGTTCACTGATCCCTAGTAAGCAGATCAGAAATTTCGTTTATGTAAACACTCACATGCGAAGGAATCCACTACAAGCACACAAGACTGGTCAGGGCCAAAATTATCAATTTGGAAATGATATCCCGCCCCAACTTATACAGGATGTGTGGCAAATCCTTCATGTACACACTTTTGCAATCTATATATTAAATATGCCAGAATCCACAGCAAGGGTCAGAGTTTCTCTAACAGCAATCAATTTCCAGCGAAAGACAGAGGTGTGGTTTGGGTTTCTAAGAAAATATCTAGACACTTATTTTCATTAAAATACCACTGCCTGTTCTTCCAGAGTGAGATTTGCTTCCATCAGAGTAGATGACCTGGGAGAAGGGATATTATTAATAATATAACGAGCCAGCTGACACAGCATCTCAGGGTGTTCATCATGTTTTGATGTCATATATAATTTAGGTAATAGTAAATGCAATATGTACATCTAATGGCTGTCAAATTAACAGACACGTTTTTAAGAAAACACCAGAGCGACTGGTTTCCCGATCTGTGAAATTCATTTATAGAGCTGAGTTTATTACTAGTTTCAATTAAAATGAGTTCTCACAATTGTTTAAATGATTACTTGAGACAGCCATATGCAGTCTTGAGGTTCATTAGTGTGGAGATGTGTTTGATGGCGAGTGTCTCGAATGATGGTATTTAGGCTAAGGTAACAATCCAAGCTATATGTACCATCAACCAGAAAAACCGAGCTAAGGCTGTCCAAGAGCCATGACACCTGCAAGGGATCAATATTTGACATTAAACACAGGAACTACAACACAGAAAGATGATGATGCTTCGAAAGCTCTCTGAGGACCTCACTGCTGTATTTGGAACAATAATTTTCAGGCGGACAGTGTACAGACACCTAGCACAGCAGGCTTTTAATGCCTGGCAAATAGTGATATGTTTGCAGAACAGGGTGCATCTTTTGTGAGACCAAGCACACCATGCTTGGACACAGCAAGAACGAGGCATCCAGAATAGTCTCTTTGGATGATTCTTCATCCAGAGAGAACCTGGGCCCAATACAACCCCTCAATATAAGGGAAATCAATCACTTAAGTGAAAATGGAATCCTTATGTTCAGAGGTATCATGCTGAATGAATTTACACCACTGTATGCCTTTGATAAGGGCACAGTGTTACACAGTTAAGATTTTACTTATGTGAGACTTTTTTAGCAAGCTATTGGAAAGAACTTGATTCATGGACATACGGTAACACAGAGGACAAATGGTCAATCATTTTCTAAAGGAAAAGGGTATCTGCTATATGGTGTGGTCAGTGAAGTCTCTGATTTAACATCAAAGCATGCTTGGATTGGTCTTAGAAGAGCCACTGCACTATGTCAACCCCTTTGCAGAACCCTCCTGTTATTAAAATCTTCACTTTTATAAGATTTGTTGCCACAAATTGATTTATAGTATAACAGCCTACTACGAGGCAAGTAAAGTTATGCAGGGTGTCCCACACTCTTAACTGGACCATTCTGGAAATATAAGGTTCATGTTTCGATCATTTTTTTACTGTCGTTGTTCTTTCATTTGCATAATGAAAACATTTACCCATAATTTATTTTGTTATGCTATTATTGGCTGTCTCACAGTACTGGGCAAGTGTGTACACAATTTTACTGCTATACACCAATTACTTACTGAGATATCCCACGGCTCTACTCTTGTATGCGCCCTAAGATCACCAAATGTGGTGATATGTGTTCTGCGCTGGTTTCTGGCGTGATTCCATGCTGTGGGATGGTTTGGTGGATGATGCTGTTTGTATGGCAACCCTTTTGACGTTGAAACTTAGAGACGTGGCGACAAGATTTCAGTCGCATATTTCAGATTGTGCGGAAAGTAATTCAGTATTAAAAGGTACGATGTTGGAGTTGTTAACAAGTCTTTTGTTCATGGGTGTGTACTGATAGAAGTGCATTTTTGGAATTTCTGTAGGAGTCAGGACTTTTAAAATGGAGTTTGGCATGTCCGAAATGCGGAGCTGATATGAGAAGTCGGACAAAAATGGTGTTTCTGATAGACTTGTGTGGGTTTGCTGCTAAAGTATGTGGCTGTTAGCGGAGTTTAAGATTTGCATTGTGGTTTTTGTGTAGTAAGTTAACTTTGGAGGAAGTTTTTGTTTCGAAATTTTGAATCACAGAAAGACATGTGATATAGCAAAATTGTGGCACTTTTGTTGACAGATGTGTGACTGGCGAAATTTTATTCATGTATGTATTATGATAAGTGCATTTCATTTTATTGTTTTTATTTGGTAGAATGTTATGATCATTGTTTTTTACTATGAATTTCTGTTGTTATTTGAATTGTTTGTAATTTATTTTAGTTTATTTTGTTGAGTTGTGCACAATGCCTAGATTGTGCAATTTGTAGATTTTTTAAGTTTAAACAGAATGCTGTGTACATGGTATTCTTTGAAATTTACTGTTATGTTAATTTATTAAAGCGAGGTGTGCGTAGTTCAGAGATTCTTTCACTGCCTAGATTGTGCAATTTGTAGATATTTTTTTTTAAGTTTAAAAAGAATGCTGTGTACATGATATTTATTGTTATGTTAATTTATTACAGCGAGGCCTTTGAAATTTATTGTTATGTTAATTTATTAAAGCGAAGTGTGCGTAGTTTGTGGATTTTTTTGCTACCTAGATTGTGCAATTTGTAGATGATTAAGTTAAAACATATCGCTGTGTACATGGATTCTTGTGAAATATTTTTGGTTAGAAACTATATGTTTCTGCTATCTAAATGTTTTGTTTTTGTTTCGGATTTTTAGCTTAAATGGTGTGTTCAAAGCGTGGTTCCGCATTTTTGGAGACATTTTAGGCTTAATGTTCAAAATATGGACAAAAAATTTAGATAGTAATATGGCATTGTGGAGTTTCTCACCAAAAATGTTTGGTGAGAAATTTGGCGACCTGAGGGCACACTTAAGAGTAGTTCCTTTCCCACTTTTGTATCTGTGACCTTAATTTTGGAACACAAGTAATATTTTTTAATTATGAATTTTCATATATTTCCTGATTTCAAATGCTAGAAATAAATTTTCCTGAAATTAGGAATATATTTTTTTATGTAATTTATACAATCAGATGAAATTGTTATTTCAAAAAACCTTTCTTTTATGAAGTTACTTAAGCTGATTCACAATCACAAAAAATGCAACAATTTGAACCATAAAAATCCTTTAAATTACTGCTTGAGTTTGCCTTCCTAAATTGGCAGCACAATTCCCACAACAATCGAAATTCAGGTTTAAAACTTGAATGACTGCTATTTCTTATAAATATGCATGAAGAGCTTGCTTATTCATTATCAACTATCTTTAGAAGAGATTAAGATAAATTCTGTGGATATTTTTGGTTGTACAGAACATCTTAATGTATATAATTTTAATATAATAGTGGCCCACATACAGGCAATACACTGCAAAGTTTAATAATAGAAATAAAAAATAAGCAGAATTTTCTTTAAAGTTCTTGACATACAATTAGACTATGGTAAAGCTAAGAAAATATATTTTACTGATTTTTTTTTTTTTGCTATGAATACTTACCAGTGCAGCTAGCCCCCAAGAGGTCTTATTGTACAAAAACTCTAGATTGTTACGTCTCATATAAAGCAGTGCACCAATCAATGCAAACAGTATAACAAGAGCTATAGTTCCAGAATAATTAGGAGGTCGAAACACTCTTATCTGAATATCTGTTCTCTCAGCAATCCATCGGGCAATGGTTTCTGCTTGGAAGCCTATTCTAAGAAATAAACATAGGTAAGCATGTTTTTTACACATAATACATTCAAATTAATACTAAAGCCATGTTGATGATTTTAGTTACCTCTGGATATCCATTTGATCACCTTTCTTGGGTTTACCCTTCTCTGGGAAATGCATAAATACTGGTGCAGAGTTAATACCCAACTGCAAGAATTACAGAAGATTGTAATTTTATATAACTATTACCCTGAAATTTTGGGCACAGTACTGAAAAAATACTTACTGAATTGAAAACATCTGGACCTTCATCAAAATCAACCATTCCAAAGAATAGTTTGTTAGTGTTAATTTGTGAGTAACGCCAAGAATTGGCAACTAATTGAAATTCATCATATGCATGCCTGAAAAAGAAAGGCACATTTTAATAACTGGTAAAACTCAACCTTTTATTTGTCACATTTTATAAATTTCAAATGAAAAACCTCCGTGCTTTCTGAAAGACTGCTTCCCTTACTGAAAATCATCCCGTCATCAAATGACCAAGTGATTAAGACTACCAAATACTGAGAGTTCTATCCTTAGCAAACAGGTTGGCTACATGGTTGGCTTTTGTTTGTTCCCCCCCCCATATGTAACATAAATACAAGTGTGTTTCCCTTAAAACATCTTTTACAAATGTATTTGAATGACTACCCTTTGGCTCCTGTATGCTTTGGCATTTTCAAAAACATAACCTGAAAATCATCACAAAATTTTAACTTGGCAAGCGTAATGTTCCTTCATTATTTGCATCATTTTACTTCTTGACCACATAAAAAAGCAGAAACTTCTGATCTAACTTTTATAAGCTCAGAAGACACCATACAAAAAAAATTCACTAAAATTTACAATATAAATAAGGTATGTCATCAGAGGGAAGTTGCAGTGATATATTTTGTGACATTTTTGACAAAATTGTTCAAGTTAGCCATTCTTTTTTACCTTTAATCACGCAACACTAAGCAGGACACTGTCAAAAATTGAGGGTCTCCTAAGATTAATTGATTAAGGTAAAATGCACACTAGGGCTATCTGCCTAATGGAAAGAATAACTTTATGAAAGACTTTTTAAGGGAATCTTGCTCATGCTCAAATTATCTGCAAGAAAAGTCACAAAAGCTTTCAAGCAGCCAGCTTGCTTGCCAGGATATGAATCTGGGTCGAAGTATCAGTGTTCAATGATGCTCCTACTCAGCCAAGAGCCTTTAAATATTCCTAATAATATTTTAACACATTGCAGATACAAAGGTGCTCAATAGTACTTTCACATGCTCAATAACTGCCAGTTTCTCAATAAACAAATAAAATAGAACAAATTCATTTGGCTAATACACAATGTTATAGCACACAAAGGCAAAGTGAAAGACAATATGAATGCATACTGCAAAAATACATTATGAAACAAAATTTAAATAATGTGTTACTTTTTTAAAATGAATATTTAAAAATGAATGCCAGCTTTAGACACTTATTAAAAATGCGATCTTTCTTTAATTTGTATGCACACAACACAGTTTCATACCCCCAACAAAATGGTTAATTAAGAGTTTGAGAAAATAAGTTCCACCCCAATATTAATATAGTATTCAAAGTACTAAAATCTCCAGTGAGAGAATTTTGCCACACAACAGCTCTTACAAGATGTCTCACAAGTTTTTTACAGAATTCAGACATGGAAATTTTTTTGGCCAATTTATTCCCTCTTTGCCTTCGTTTTAAGAAACTCGCCAGACAAGTGGTGCACACTACAATCTATAAAAAAATCAGATCAAAATTCATCTCTAAAAAGGCCTGATGTAAAGTAAAACTTATCAGTACTTTTTTGATTACCTACACCCCTATGAAAAAATTCAAACACATTACGCTTGTGAATTGGCTACTGAAAAAAGTTTGTTTAGCTTTTGTGCTTTATAGCTTGTAGGTATTGATCTATTTATAAATGATTATTAAAAAAAGTATTTTTATACGGAGAAAAATGCAATCTATATGGCTGAAAGCACTGATGAGCCAAATGACAGTTAAATATAATATATATACATACTTCAAACGAATATGGTACATGCATGCAAGGGCTGCCTACTGTAGCATGTATGTTAAAAAATACATTAAAAACACTGCAATTTTACTAAATGCTAAATCTGAGGCATGCAGATAATCAGAAAGTATCAAATTATCTTACCTCTGGATAGACATAAACCTTCAATCAAACATGAATTAGCACACTTGCTGGTAATTATTCTTCCTTATACCATCACATCTGCATTGTCATGTGTCGTTTTCCCTAATACTACCGGCAACATTTCATGTTCCAGAAATAAGCACATTTAGAATCAGATGTTGTTGCAAATTCTAAACTCAGTTGCCCTAGACAGCTTTTTATTGCTGCATTCACTTACAAACAGACTTTGATCTTAAATCATTTTCTTCTGTAACATTATCCAAACTTCATCTAAACATTTCTTCAATTATCTGTTTTGCTTCTACCAAGAATTCTCTGGATTCAACCAGGAATTCTCTGTTTCAAAGTTTGCCAAGCGAGACTTCAATGCAATAAAAAACTGCTTTAACTTTACGATACTGAACTGAAACCCTATATTACAGAGGCTGCAAGGAAACAAACTGAGAACTACTAATGCCTTTGGATGAGTTTGGATCAAAATCAAACTCGTAAAATTACAGAATATAATATTAATTAGATTTACCTTCTTCTCATTCAACAAAAATTGGCAAATGACTAACTAAATAACATTAAAATAAAACTGACTGACTGATAATGCCATCAAATTTTTTTATGTATGTGAAGGTAACTTTTGACTACAATGTAACTAATGACTTTTATTTTCTTCACTTTCAGATTTTGAATCCCATTATTATTTTTGTGAGTAAAAATTTTCCCAAACTAAAAAAAATTTCAATACATGATTCTTCTTTCAGAATTTTATTTTCAGACAGAAAATTAATTAAACACTTTAAGGACTAATCCTCAACTTAAATACATTTTCCAATAAAAAGTAATACAAAATCATAATAAATTTTAAAACTTTCTGAAGGATACTGAACAAATGAAAAAATACCATGTTTTATTTCCACACAAGTTTTTTAGTAAATACAGATTATTGTGAGCAGAATTTTAAAAAAAAGTCCAAAATGAACTGATTTTTAATACTCTAGATCAGGTGTTCTCAACTGGTGGTACGCACAGAAGCAAAGTATTTTTAACTATTCAATTCAAAAATTAAAACCCCAACATCCTGATTGAGGTTTTTCTCTAACACTCATAAATTTATGTGATCTGAGCTTTGTTCAAAAGTGGTAGTGGAGGTACGAAAGGTTTTCAATTTTGGTTTCGATGGTACGCGTTAGTCAAAAGGTTGAGAACCGCTGCTCTAGATACTATTTTGTAGTAAAATTATTAATTAGAAATGTATATATTTCAAAAAGGATAATTACATATTGTGGTTTTATCCTACATACGGCTGCCTTCTAATCAGACATCTAGATATTGTGTTTAATGTTTTAACATAAGGTTATGCCACTAAAGTTCTATTTTATAATAATATCTATAAAAACAACATGATAAAAATTAGGGAAAAATTCATAAAATGCAATTACCTGCACACAATACACTGACGATGAGGTGAGAGAGCCGTCAGCATAATAACAAATGAATAATTTCGTGGTGTAGCCTTTATAAACTGACGAAATTTATCACCAGTAAAACGAATTATAGTTCTTTTTGATGACATGTCTGTTAGCTCTTGTACTCTTTCCCCCAGAGTTTGAGCCTAGTAGAAAAAAATACCATATCACAAACATATATTCTACAAGAAAATAAAATCTAATAAATATCCCACAAAGTTTCAAACTGTCATGAAAGATAGTTTATTGCATAAATTTCCATTATAATCTTTGGAGCAGATATGACCACTCAGGTTACAACAAAACAAATAGTACTTCACCATTATTTCAATTGCCATCATTGCCACTATCTCCCATTACTTTTCATGCATGTTTTCAGCAACTACAATTAATTGCGACAAAAATGTGGGACTTGCCTACAAAAAAAAAAAAAAGCCATACTATTTTTTTTTTTTTTTTTTTTTTTTTTTTTTAAAGGGAGGGTATTTTGTGAACTAATGCTTCTTGTGTCAAAACTCACAAAATGAAGTTGCGTTTTGGGATTAGCATTCACTGGCTGTACAACAGTTCTTGTTCTGCTTACCACAACTAAAAGAGTACTGACAGAGGAACATAGTACAAATAAATCATCCAGACTGAATTTTTAACACCTCTCAAATTCACTCACAGTGGGAAACCCCCAGAGGGAAAGTTATTGGCTCACGTATAAGTGATATAGAAAAAAACTTTATTGCTTAAAGTATATTTTACACTTGAATTTTTGATAAAAGGCAATTCAAGAAAACTTCCCAGGAGTTTGGGACCTTCTCATGGTCTGAGGGCTCAAAGGAAAAGGTCTAAATCTAAACTCCAATTTCAATCGAGGAAACCTCAGGGTCCGAATTGAATCTGATTAAAAATGGACAAAAGTGCACAGACAGAGACTGTTGCTATATCGGAATTAATTGAGGAGGCTCACTCATTTATAAGTGAGTTAGAGACTTGTTTAGAAGAAGCTTCCTGGGTAACAACACCCATTCGAAAAAAGATTTTTAAAACACAAGTGTTACTTAATTTTATTGTTTTGCAAGCATTGGAGATACAAAATCTGAAAGGAAACTTAGAAGTGGTTAAACAACAAGCCTTATTAGAAAAATGTTTTACAGATATTATAAAAGAACAAAGAGTAGGAAAGAAATTAATTCAGAAAAAGGAGAAAGTTAAAAAAGAAGAGTATGTTGCATTATTATATCCCAAGGTTAAAGAGATTTCATCAGGAGAGGTAAAAATGAAGGTGGTCGAAGCTATTGATCCCGTAAAATTAAAGATTGGAATAAAAAATGTTAGAAAAATTAACAATCGAGGAACTGTTGTAGAATGTCTAAATGAAGATGAGACCGAAATCTTAGAGGATGAAATTAAAAAAAATTTATTGTTGAAAGAAGATACTGAAATAAAGTCTCCAATAAAGAAACAACCAAAAATAATATCTAATATAGAAGCAGAATTAAAAAAAAGAAGAGATCCATGAAGCAGTAATAAACCAAAATCATATTTTTGAAGACAGAGGCTTCAAACTCTAGTTTTTAATCAAAGCTAAACATAATAAGTTACAATGGGTTTCTAATATTCAACCCGAAAAATACAAATTTGTTATTAATCACGGAAAAATCAATTTGAAATGGTTCTGAATATTTATTAAAGAGAATTTTAATGCTGTAAGATGTTATAAGTGTCAAGAATTTGGATATTTTCATAAAAAGTGTATAAAAGAAGAGATATGTGCTAAGAGTGCACGAAAAGGGCACAATCATTGGGATTGTAAAAACAATCCTGAATATGTTAACTGTATTTCAGCAAATAATAAATATAAACTGGAGTTGGACACAAAGCACTCTAGTTTAGATCAAAATTGTGTTTGTTTAAAAAGACAATATGAGCTACTAATCAGAACCAATTACAGTTAATAATTCTTTAAAAGAAATGACAGGTGTTCAAATTAACTTCCATCATGCTAGAGCTGCTGTGTCCCAGCTCCAGAAAAGAGCAATTGAACAAAATTATTCCTTTGCTCCATTACAAGAACCGTATTATGTGAATAACATAATTAACCCGGCGGAAGTCGCACCAAGAAAACTTACTAGAGTGGGCGCGTGGGGTATCACATACCCCAATATTTAAAATACGATAAAAATAGTTTTATTTAGTTTTAAAGCTGTTTTTCTTGTTCTAGTGTATTATAAATACGTGAATAATAATTGGGTTTCAAAAAATTAATTTCCAATATAATCTTAGAGTTAAAATTAAGATAAATGAAAATAATAAAAAAATAAACACCATGCCTCTAAGTTTCATTGCATCTCTAATACACAATGCTTATTTTATTTCTTTACACTTTGAACAAAATACATTCATGTGTTCCTGGCACAGAATGTTTTTTCATTTTAAACATTGCATTCATGTTCTTCTGTCCTTGGCGGGGGCAATTTATCGCATCTTTCATACTCAGTTGTTTCGAATTTCATGTATTCATTTTAATTCTTCGTCGAAAATTCTGCTTTTCTTTTGCATGCAGTACGTCAGTTTCTTGGTAAAGTATTAATCTCTGATCTTTGTTCAATACTTTTTTTAATTAATTGTAATGCTAAGTCCTTCAAAAACAAACTTCTGTTTCTGGTTGGTGGATTAGCAGTTGAATGTAATATAATTCAAGCACTTATTATAGCAACATTCAGTGCAGGAAAGAAAATTACCATTGGCCACCTCCTTGTTATTCTGGTAATTGAATAATTGGCTGACATTTCATCCCCCATATCCACTGCTCCTTTAGTCATATTATAAAAACATATAATTCCTGACGTTTTATTTTCTCCAATAATATCATCTATAGTATGATTGTTATGTAATGTTGAAAGCATAAGAACAGTTTTTCCTTTTTTGGGAACATTAGGAATTAATGTTTTATCTTTTTCAAAACCAAAACAGTATAGAAAATATTCCTAGTTTCATCTTCAGTTCCGAAATGCAATCATCATCGCTTTCATATATTTCTAATAAATCTCACAGGCGTTGCATCTCCAATTCATAGAGGCCATTCCATAATGAGGTTAGAAAATTTTAAGAATTTAATGTCAAGTACTTTAAAATCACTTGTGAGTAGAAATATTTAATGTTACACTCTAGAAATAAATTTCTGAACTAAATATTCAGTCTGAAAAACACGCGGACAGACGCATTGGGGTGTGTCATACCCCAGTTCTAACAATATACCAATAAATCATTTTCTGAAACAGACAGGCAAAGAAAAAGCGGTTCTGAAAGTCAACCACAACTAGAAACTCAGCTACTGAACGCAGCACAGAATTTCAGTCTCACAAGTTAGGAATATTCCACTTTTATGTAGGGTGGGGTATGAGACACCCCACGTGCTTTCCCGCGGGTTAAAGGATTTTTCTCAAAATTTTGAATTTATTATCATTAAAAAGAAATTCATCTTGCAGGAATAAATATATTTGACAATTCGATTTCAGTTATTGAAACTTTTGTTTCAGATATTATTGTTGCATTAAAAATTAATTATAACTCGCAAGATCTTTTATTGATTTCAGCCTACTGTTCACCTAAGTCTGACATAAATGGTTTAATCCAAATTTCAAGAATTATGTCTAAAGAAGAAAATTTAGAGATATTAATTGGTACAGATTTCAATGCAAAGAGCGAAATTTGAGGACATCAAAAAGGTAGTAGAAGAAAATTTGTCATTGAATTTATAAACTCTCCTACTTTATCTATATTGAATAATCTTTAATCTCCTTCCACTTTTAAGGGAGCGAGGGGGTTTCTTGGATTGATCTGCTTCTAGGAAAGGAGGAGATTCCTATTCCAGATTTCAATTCTTCAAAAAAAGTTACCCACCAGTAAAGTTTCCCCTTCGCAGACAAACTTTGGAATTCACACTCAGCTTTAAGTAAGAGCTGCTCAGCTTAAGTAAGAGTTTCAAACATTTTTGGAGTTCAGACACAGTGTTTTGTTTTGTTTTTTAACCAAATTCTTCACAATTATAAAGTTTTTACCAAGTTATCAAAAATACCAACTGAACTAGTAACTGAAGATTCATAAATTCTTACAGGAAGGAGGGGAAAATTAAAGCAAATCCAAATTAACAAATCAATTGCATGAAAATGGTTTGCATCCATATCATTTGCAGAGAGTCCAAGCTTGCAAGAGACAGATTACCCTCTTCGAATTCATTTCTGCCATTGGTTCTTGCAGCAGTGTGCGGAGCAGGCAGTTTTCCCATTCGATGTGCTATTCACGAACGAGGCAACTTTCTCACAGGACGGCATCTTCAATAGCCACAACATGCACGTGTGGGCAACTCATAATCCACATGGCACACGTCCACATGCATGCCAAACCTGCTTCTCCATGAATGTGTGGCCGGGTATTGTTAACGATTACCTCATAGGCCCATACCTCTTACCTGCACGTACAAATGGCTTATGTTATCATATTTTTCTGCAAGAGGTGCTACTGGAATTGCTGCAGGATGTTCCGGCTGTCATTTGTGATCGTATGTGATTCCAGCATGATGGTGCACCAGCCCATAACCATGTGCGGGTCCGCAATTACTTGGACCCGTTCGATGGCCACCCCGAACTATCCAGCTTGGATGTTTTTTTTTTTTATGGACCCATCTGAAGAACATCATTTAAGAGACTCCTGTTGACTCACAGGAGGACCTCGTTGCACGACTATCCATTGCGGCTGCAAGCGTGCGGAGAATAACAATATGGGTACTATTCTGTTTCGAGGGCCGTAAAAAATCGCCAAACTATTGTTGATGCCAATGCTGCCAAAAATAATTGTGGCAACCCTAATAATTGCGGCAAGAAAGGAAGTATAATAGTAAATAACAATCTAAGATTGATGTTTTAGGTAAAAGTAGAGTTAGGGTACCCCTTGGCAAAACTTGGCAATTTTTGGCGGTACATGGATACCGATTTTGTGCAATTCTTTGACTTGTTATTTTGGCTTGCGAAGCGGCAATTTTTACGCCAAAAATCCCCGCTACACAAAGCCAAAATAACAAGACAAATCATTGTACAAACAACTCGGTATCCATGTGCAAATCGACTTATTTTCACTTAAAAAAAAAACCTCGAAT